AATAGAGTGGCACTATTACTTCTCTTGATCTAGAAGACTCGACCTGTATACTTTTTAGCTAGGTCTCTTTCAACTGTTGGCGGAGAGATTGTGCAGCACCTTTGAGACTCGCTGAAAGAAAGAAGTTGGCAGCATGAGCTTTCCTAGACTTAGGTCTACTCCCTTCCAGAGGCATTTGGATCATTTCAGATCCAAATTGGGATTTCAGACTGGGATTTCCCAAATGCATCTGAGGAAGTAGACTTAGGGCTATGAAAACTCCTGCTGCCAACTTCTTTCTTCCAGTGAGTCTCAAAGGTGCTACAAGGTCTCTCTACATACTGATTCTACAGATTCACACGGTTATGTCTTTGAATTCTTTTAACTATTGTGAGTTGCCTGGAGTCGCAGACCAGCAAAAAGGTGGGACTCAAAACATGTTGTTGATAGCTGCTTTCGAGTCGATCTCAATTTATGGTGACCCTGTGAATGAGACATCTTCAAGCCTCCCTATCTTCTACCTTCCTGCTCAGGTCCTGCAGGGTCCAGCCAGCTGAGTCTATCCATCTGGCATGTGGTCTTCCTCTCTTTTTACTTCCCTTCACCTTCCCCAGCATCATTTTTGTCTTTTCCAAAGAGTCCTCTCTTCTCATGATGTGTCCAAAGTATGACAGCATCAGTTTGGTCTTCTGGGCTTCTTCCAGGGAGGTTTTCAGCTTGATCTGCTCTAAGAGCCATTTGTTTGTCCTTTTGGCTCTCCATGAGATCCTCAGCACTCTTCTCCACCACCACATCTCAAAGGAATTCATTCTTCCTATATGTTCTTTAAAACATATACCAAAGTTTAATATATCTGTCTGTAAGGACAGAAGGCTATGCAAAACACCACGATCTTAGCTGCCCATTAGAACACCAAAAGGGATGGTGCCAGATGGGCTTTCCTTGGCTTTCAGCCTCCACTTTGACGATGCTTTCCATGTGTCCTATCCCCCCAAAATAGGTTCAGCACCTTGGATAATTCCTTTAAATTTCAAAGGGAAACCTGGACTAGACTACTTGGCCCCACTGACATGGAGTCACCAGCAGTTGCTAGCTATTTCTTCCTCCAAATGGATGGAATGCCTCATCCCATAAGGATGTATCCATGCCTTCTTGTCCCCAGTCTATTTGGGGGATACACTCATAGGAAACAGGTGTGCCCAATTCAAGGCAGGAACATCAACAAGCTAAGATCTGCAGATCATGACAACATACCACTAGCAGAAAACAGAAAAGACAAAGATTACTGGGGGAAAAAAATCAAGGGTGAAAGCACTAAAACAAGTTTAAGAAAACAGAAATAATGACCACTGATGATTTATATAACTTTAATGTAGACGATGAAGACGCTGAAATAGTTAGATTTTCCATACCTTGGTTCAGTCATTAATCAGAATGGAGACTGCCATCAAGAAATCAGAAGACTGAGGGCCTTTGCAGACTGCCAGAAATAGTGCAAATTGAGTCCACTTTAGGGGTTAGGTTTAGGGTTAGGATTAGAGAATCATGGGAACTGTATTTTATTGTGGCACCAGAGCTCTCTGATAGAGAAGGCTTAATGTCTCAGAAAAATACCAATTCCCATGATTCCCTAGCACTAACCCTAACCCTTAAAGTGGACTCAATTTGTACTATTTCTGGCAGTCTGCAAAGGCCTAAGACTTGGAAAGGCAGCTGTGAAGAAACTAGACCAGATGCTGAATAATAATAATAATAATAATAATAATAATAATTATTATTATTATTAATATCCCACCTCTCTTTAAAATACAACCGAAGTGTAAAGAGAGAGAACATGGTATAGTGGTTAGAGCACTGAACTATGGAGACCTAGTGTTCGAATCCCGGCTCGGCCATCTAAACCCACTGGATGACCCTGGGAAAGTCACACACTCTCAGCCTCAGAGGATGGTAATGGCAAACTCCCTCTGAAGAAACTTGCCAAGAAAACCTGATAAGTTCACCTTAGGGTTGCCATAAGTTGGAAATACTTGAAGGCACATCAACAAAGATATTTCACTGAATACTGAAGTTAGGATTGTCCATGCCATCATATTTTCCATCACTATGTATGGATGTGAGAGTGAGGAAAGTGGGCAGTGAGGAAGGATTGGAAGGAAATCAATTCATTTGAGATGTGGTGCTGGAGAACAGTTCTCTGGATACCATGTCCTGCTAAAAAGACAAATGGGTTCTAGAGCAAATCAAGACTGAACTCTCCCTAGAAGCCACAACGACTAAACTGAGGCTGTCATACTTTGGCCATATCATGAGAAGAGATGACTCACTAGAAAAGAGAATGTAAAGAGATCTTGTAGTACCTTTGAGACTCGCTGAAAGAAAGAAGTTGGCAGCAGGAGCTTTCGTAGACTTAAATCTACTTCCTCAGATGTATTAGTCCAAATGCATCTGGAGAAGTAGACTTAAGTCTACGAAAGCTTATGCTGCCAACTTCTTTCTTTCAGTGAGTCTCAAAGGTGCTACAAGACCTTTCTACGTACTGATTCCATAGACAAACGCAGCTATATCTTTGAATTCTATGATTCAAATATGGGATTCTGTGATGATTTTATGATGCTTTGATTGGGAGTTCCTGCATGGCAGAGGGTTGGACTGGATGGCCCTTGTGGTCTCTTCCAACTCTATGATTCTATGATTAGAAAAGAGAATAATGCTTAGGAAGGCAACAGAAAAAGAGGAAGACCCCATTCCAGATGGATAGACACAGTCAAGAAAGCCATGGCCCTGGCTCTGTAAGACCTGGGCAGATTTGGAGGCCTTGGAGGTCTCTCATTCATAGGGTCGCCATAAGTCGATGCTGACTTGAAGGCAGCTAGCATACACAGAGTTCAGCATCTTCGAAAGTTTAGACTAAAAGCTGGAGCAGGTCCACCACTTTTGTGATACGGAGCCCACCAGCCCCGGTTGTTCATTTGTTCTTTCTGCCTCCCTTCCCTGCTGCATGCTTGCTCCATGTCCAGGCATTTCTGAAAGGATCCAGAGGGCTTTGGACTCTGGCCACGCAGCTGCCGGCCTGGGATCTAATTAGGGATAATCACCAAATTGGATTTGGGCTGGAAATGGGGAGGCAGGCAGCTGCTCAGATACCAAAGACCAAGATGGGAACGGCTGCCCATGCCTGGCAGGGATGGTGTTGGT